AAAAATGGCCACCACCACCCCCAAAATAAATATAGATAGATAGATAGATACATAGATAGATAGATAGATAGATAGATAGATACGGCCTGCCTTAGACCAGGGATCCCAGGCATCACCCACCTCATACCAGGCCTCTGCTAATTGACATCTATAAGAATTTAGGCTTGACTGCTTATTCTAAAAGAGAGAAAACACAAGTCACAGGCTTGCACACCATCCAAAGACATTACTTTTGTGATCCCTATATGGCATAACCACGCCAAAAATTTGTTGCAAAGAGGCCATTTCAAAGAACTCCCTATTGACAGAGTCACTAAACATGGATGTTAGAAATTAGTCCAAGCATTTTGTATCCATCACACATCTACCTCTCCTAGGTTAGGAATAACTTGAGGTCACTCACTATGTCTTATTCATATACTTTATAACCAAGCTCTAAATTGTCTCTGGCATGTAACTGGTCCAAAATAAATTTTGTTAAATGGAACAAATGAACCTATTAGCCAGATTTCAGCATGAATAATTGAGCCCTGTCTTCTATATGATCAAAGTGTGATACCATCACATATATTAGTAAATGTTCAATTAATAAAATTTCTGGGGGACCTTTTCAAAGAGTCTTTGTCCATATATGTGCACACATTTCTAACCACATTCACAGATATGGTGAAAACTTGGGAACAAACTATTTTTACATCTCACTAGAAATTAAACAGATTCTTATGAGTATCTATAAAGCTAGATGCTAAAAAAAGGTGAAAGGCTCCATCATTGTGTGAAAAAATAGGTTCTTCCTCTTACCTCCCCCACCATAGGTTAGGGTCCTCCACAGCCCACTTCCTTTACCACCCCTTAGCTTTCCTCACCATTATCTCCTGTGTTTATATATATATATTTTTTGGGGGGGGTACCAGGGATTGAACTCAGGGGCACTCAACCACTGAGCCTAATTTTGTATTTTATTAGAGACAGGGTCTCACTGAGTTGCTTAGTGCCTTGCCATTGCTGAGGCTGGCTTTAAACTTGAGATCCTCCTGTCTCAGCCTCTGGAGCTGCTGGAATTACAGTCATGCACCACCACACCACGCCCAGCCTTTCCTGTGTTTATCTTCTACAAGTCACTACCAGTAGCTATAGCTCCTTCAGAGTTGTAGCTCCACCCACTAACCCAGCTTTTATCTATGGTGAGTTTTAAATGAGAAAAGCAAAAATTGAATCATAATAAAGAAAATGTTTAAGTCCTTTAAAATTAGAAAAAAGTGCTATAGAGTTTAAAAGAGAGTGAAGTTACAAAAGAATCTGAGTATTAAATGACATTTATGGAGAAGAAAACATTGAGGTGGACCATGAAGACTGGCCAGCCTTTTCTTTTTATAGGTAGATGAAACTAGGCCAGCTTTTCACTATATTTTTTAAGAATGGTTGCTCCAGGGCTCGGGTTGTGGCTCAGTGGTAGAGGGCTTGCCTAGCACGTGTGAAGCACTGGGTTAAATTCTCAGCACCACATATAAATAAATGAATATAATAAAGATCCATCAACAACTTAAAAAAAAAAAAAAGAATGGTTGCTCCATAAGGGAACTGTACAAGCAAAGGCAAGAAGCAAATTAAAAAGGAGGCGAGTTTAATATATGTAAAGGAATAACAAAAAGTAAAACTAAAAAAGATAAAATTGGAACTACACTGTAAAAATTTCAAAACAAAGAATCTGGGCTTAATAAAACAGTAGGGAATCTATATACTATTCTGACCATAATCATAATAAAGCCTAAGCACAGGAAAAGTAATACAGCAGGATGGACATTAAGGCGAAATAAAGTAAAACCAGATGTAAGCTCATGTAGGTGTGAGACTGCTATGAAAATAAAAATGGATGTATAAGGACAAATAAGGGCAAAAAGCAGTCTCATCAGTGGGTTAACTGGACAAACACAAGGGGGAAAATCCACTGTCAAATGACAGTAAGAAACAAGCTTGCTTAGTAAGAAATAAACTCAGGTAAATATGATGAAACAGCAAAAATAAAAAGAACTTAAAAGGAGATGATTAAAGTGGCATAAAGTTCTTTTAAAGATAAGCAAAATTAACAATCCTTTGGCCAGCTTAAAAAAAAAGAACAAATTATAAATCAAGAAAAGAAAGAGGAGACAAAACAACAGGTATTACAAAACTACAAAAAATGAGTCCAGTATGAATAATCACATACCTCCAAATTAGAAAACCTAAAAGAAACAGATCAATTACTAGGAACATTCAACCTGCCAAGACTGAATCAAGAAGAAATACAACAATCACTAATATGCCATTATGTAAAAATGTGAGTGTGTAACCGATGTGATTCTGTAATTTGTATTTGGGGTAAAAATGGAGTTCATAACCCAATTGAGTCAAATGTATGAAAGATGATATATCATGAGCTTTGTAATATTTTGAACAACCAATAAAAAAATATATAAAAAAAAGAAGAAATAGAAAATTTAAACAGACCAACAACAAGTAAGGAATTAAGTCAATAATTTAACCCCTACCACAAAACCCAGGACCAGGTGACTTCACAGCAGAATCCTGCCAAACATTTAAAGAACTAATATTAATCCTTCACAAACTCTTATAAAAAAAAAATCAGAAGAAATATTTTCAAACTCATTTTATAAGGTCATCATCATCCTGATAACAAAGCCAGATGAAGACACTATAAGAAAGGAAAATCATAGACCAATATCACTGATGAATGCAGATGCAAAAAAATCTTCAAAAAATACTAGCAAACCAAATTTAATAGCACATTAAAAGGATATTCAATATGAACAAAGGGACTTTGTCTTGTAGTGCAGGATAGTTCAACATATGAAAATGAATAAATATAATACACCTAACAGAATAAAAGACAAAAAAACAAATGATCATCTCAATAGATTCAGAAAAAGCATTAAACAAAATTCAAACTCCTCTCATGATAAAAACAAAAGTGAAAAATTGTTAATAACTTAGGCTAGAAATAATGTACCCAAAATTTAAAAAAGCCATATATAAATAGGCCACGGTTAGCATCATATTTAACAGTGAAAAGCTGAGGTTTCTCCTTGAATATCAACAACAAGACAATGATGCCCAGTCTCACCCGCTGTTTTTTTTTTTTAACAGTATAGAAAATTCTAGCCAGACCAATTAGAAAAGAAAAAGAAAATCCAGAGGTATTTAAATATAAAGAAATGTTTGCAGATGACATGATCTTATAACAGAAAACTCTTAAAGATTTATCTGAAAAATATCAGAACTGATAAATGAAGAAAAAAAATAAAAATCAATAATAATAATCACATAAATAAGTACATACACACATACTTAACACTGTTACCAAGAAGGTGAAAGGTCTGTATACTAAACACTATAAAACATTGATGAAAGAAATAGTAGACAATACAAATAAATGGAAGGTATACTGTGTTCATGGATTAGAAGAATACTGTTAAAATGTCCATAACTAGGGTCTGGGGTTGTGGCTCAGAGGTAGAGTGCTCGTGTAACATGTGCAAGGTGCTGGATTTGATCCTCAGCACCACATAAAAATAAATAAATAAAATAAAGGTATTGTGTACAACTACAACTAAAAAAAAAATATTCATAAACACCCAAAGGGATCGACAGACTCAACACAATCCCTATAGCAATCCCAATGTCATTTTTTTACAGAAATTTTAAAAATAACTTAAAATTCATATGAAACCAAAAGACTACTTCCAATAGCCAAAGCAATCTTGAGGAAAAACAACAAAGCTGAATCACCATACTGACTGATTTCAAAATCTATTACAAGGCTAAAGGAATCCAAATAATATGGAACTGACAAAACACACACACACACACACACTAAAAATGGAACAGGACAGTGAGCCCCGAAATAAACCCACACACCTAACGTCAATTTATTTTCAACAAAACAAATACACTCTGGGGGAAGGGACAGTATATTCAAGAGGTGGTGCTGGAAAAACTGGATATCCATATACAGAATGAAACTGGAACCTTATGTCACACCACATTAAAAAATCAACTCAAAATAGATTAAAAACATAAACATAAGATTTAAAACTACAAAACTTCTAGAAGGAAACAGAGCAAAATGTTAAATATTTATCTGAGCAAAGATTTATTTGATAGACTCTTAAAAGCACAAGTAACCAAAGCAAAAATATATGGAATTCCATCAAATTAAAAAGCTTCTGCAAAACAAACAACTGATAGAAGATGAAACAATCCACAAATTGGAAGAAACTGCAAACCACTGAACCTCATAAGGTGCTAATATTCAAAATAGATAAGGAACTCAATAGCAAGAAAATAAAGAAGCCAATTTTAAAATGGACAAAGACCTAAACATACATTACTAAGAAGATATACAGATGGCCGGTAAACATATGAAAAAATTATCATGTTCAATAAGCATCAGGGAAATGCAAATGAAAACCACAAGAGACATCTCCTCACACTTGTTAGAACAGCTATTACAAAAAAGGTAAAAAATAAGTGTTGACCAGGAAGTGGAGAAAAGGGATCCTTTGCACACTTGGTGGGAATGTTAATTAATAAAGCCATATGGGAAACAGTTTGAAGGTTCCTCAGAAAACAAAAAACAGAATTTCCATGTGACCCACAATCTCACTTCCAAGTATGTATCTAAAAGATTTGTAATCAGAACGTTGAAGAATGACATCCGCACTTCTATGTTCACCGCAGCATTATTCACAATAGATATGGAATCAAAGTATCCATCATTGGATGAATGGATAAAGAAAAAACATGTACACACAAACAATAGAATATATTCACCTATTAAAAAAAAAGAAAATTCTATTATTTGTATTTACATAGATGATCCTAGAGGGCACTATACTAAGCAATTCAAAATAAAACCAAACTCAAAGAAGTAGAGTAGAATGGTGGTAACCACAGGCTGAGGGAGAGGGATGGCCAGATAAAGAAGAGATGCTGATCACAGGTTTAAAATTTCAGTTAGACAAGAAGAATAAGCTTTAATGATGCTATTGCACAAAATGGTAATTACAATAAATAATGTACTGCATTGTTCAAAATTACTGAGTATATTGTAAGTGTTCATCACATAAAAATGGTATGAGAGGCAGACTTATTAACTATCCTGATTTAATCATTTCACAATGTAAATCAGAAGGAATATTTTCAAACTCATTTTATACGGTCATCACTATCCTGATAACAAAGCCAGACAATAACTAAGCACAGGAAAATAAGCCAAAATATCAAAATATCACACTGTACTCCAAAAGTACATAACATATACAACTATTTGACATATTAAAATTTTAAAAACAAAAAACAAAGTGTCATAGTTCTGAGCATCTATCATATCAAACTAATTCATTTCAAATCAGTCTATTCACCTACTGGACCCCTATTAAGTGTCAGATACTTATAAATTGGTTCCTTAGTTCCTAATTTTAATTCATGACCAAAATTTAAAGAATATCATACAAAGCTCCATGTACTGGTTAAGAAGTAATCAGAAACTAAAAGATTAAAAATGAATATCTTGATACATATTTCTTTAATGACAAAAGAAGTTGATAATTAGCTATGCACCAAGAAACTCATAAACACTGAGCTACTGATTCTTAAAATAAGTAAACCATAGATAACAAATTTTGTGGCAGGGCAACCTGACTTATTTTAGGGACACACAATTCTACTAAACCTTATTTCACAAACTATTATTCTACTAACGATCAAGCTAAGTGTTTAACATTCCTGTAAGTTTTTAAAGTCTTCATGTACAGTAAAAGACAGAAGTTTCTGTTAAAATACTAAAAGTATTTATTCCTGAGTGTTTTACCTTTGCTTCTTTCCTACAGTAAAAATATTTTTAAAATTAAAAAAGTAAAAGAAAATTAAGTATTAGATTGCATATTATATGTTATCATATGCTAAGAGACCGCTTAATTTTTTTTTAAATTAAAAAAGTAAAAGAAAATTAAGTATTAGATTGCATATTATTATATGTTATCATATGCTAAGAGACCGCTTTTATTCTGATTGTGAATAAGAATTGAAGCATTTTAAGCGCTGGGTTGACATATCATGGACATATCCCTGAAGGAACCTTGAGTACCAAAGCCTGGACACTCTGAGGGCAATTGAAAACTGTTCCAAGTATATGACTGGATAGAATTAATAAGTGATTGCATATTATTTTGCATTATCTTACACAAATTTGGATCCTGAATTGCAGATAAAATCATATTTTGAAATAAGACATTTCTAAAAACTATAGTCACTGAAAAATAGGTCAATCAAATAAATCATGAGTTCTTCAAAAACAGATGATTAGCTATCAGGGGTATTTTAGCACAATGGAAGTTAGGGTCAAAGACAATGTGGTATAGTGAGTTTGAAGTCACAGCCCTGGATCTGATTCTCAATTCGGACACTCAGAAACTGTTATTTACTCAAGTATGTTAAATTCTAAAAATAGTTTAGCAGGATGAGGTAACAGAAGCAAAAAGCATTACATCTGGAAAACTAGTCTCTCCTTCTCTGTACACTGGCCAGTAAGTAATACCTGGCAACATATCATACACCTTCTCTAAATCAAGACAGCACTGCTACCCTATTCAGGCCAAGGAAACACATAAAGGGAGAAAACACAGAGTATAACACAGAAGATATAAACATTGGTGCAATAGTTTAGATATGAAACAACAAAAGTCTGTTAAAAAGGGTTGCTCCCTAGCCTGTAGTGCTACTTAGAGATGGTGGAACCTTTAAAAGGTGGGGCCTACTTGGAGGAAGTTAGGTATATGGGGGCAATATAAACATTGGTGCAATAGTTTAGATATGAAACAACAAAAGTCTGTTAAAAAGGGTTGCTCCCTAGCCTGTAGTGCTACTTAGAGATGGTGGAACCTTTAAAAGGTGGGGCCTACTTGGAGGAAGTTAGGTATATGGGGGCATGAACCTGAAGGAGGTATAAGAACACTGGCTTTTTCATCTCCCAACCATAATATTCTGCATTACCATAAACCCCAAAACAACTGAGCTAAGTGACCTTGGACTGATCTCTGGAACTGTGAGCTGAAATAAACCTTTTCTCCTAATAAGTTTATTATCTCATGTATTTTATCACAGCAATAGAAAGCTGGCTAAAATAATGGATAACATAAAAATCTGAACCCCAATATTGCTACCTTTATCCAGGTAAAGAGATTTCAACCAAAGAAAAAATAAATGTACCCAAACTGTTAGGATTTCTAGTTATTAGACTATCTTCTTAAACATAGAAGATTCAACTGGTGTTTATTAAGTACTCATCAGTGAACATACATTTTACTTCCTAATGCTACTACTGAATACTGACACTACTGCAAAAGTTGACTAGATTATCAAGAATGTTAACTTTGTTCTTGAATTAAGAAGTATATTTAATTCCATTACACAAGCCCCCCAAAAGTATTACAAAAACAGATCTTGCCAGGCATAACCAATACAAGCCTTTAGGAAAGAAATAAACTATTCATTTACAACAAGGACAAACAAGGATGTGCTAATCAAATATGTGCAACACTAGAATGTACCGCCATGAGGGCAGGGACTTCTGTCTTTACTGTTCACTGCTGTTTGCAACATTTAGAACCATTTCTGGTACACAACAGTTATCCAATAAATACCTGAAGGATGACTAATTCTTTGAAAAATAATTTTGGGCCACCTACATAAATTATTTTCAATATTGCTATTTAAGCAAGGCTCTGAGAAAGTCACAGTATTTTACATAACATTTTTGTAACTGCTCTCATAGAAGAATACCTCAAAAGAAAGGAGGATTTATTTTAGCTTATGAAACATCATATTGCCGTTATGAGTCAAAAATACACAATCTTGAGAAAAAACTTCTATAAAAATCTTTTGATATAATTTTATTAGCATTTATTACATCAATATTCACTTAGAGGATCCTAAGGACTGTCTTAGAAAAATTGAAAGCATAGATAATTAGGTTTAAACAATTAGGTAGAACTTACTCTCATTATAGCACAGCCCTTAAAGTCAAGAACACTACTGAGAATTAAGTGCAGTTCTATCAATTCTGTGCACACAGTGTCACTTAGTTCCATGAAAATATAACATACTTCTATGAATATGTATATCAATGGCAAACATCATTGGCTTCCAAACAACTGACACTAAAGGAATTTCCAATCAAAACACAAGCACAGAGGCTTTCATCCAATAAAGAGCTATGATAATTCTATAAAGAGACCCTGAATCCATAAGTACTTGTAATATGATTTTATGCTGTGACACTAGTACAAAACACATCAACTCCAATGCACAGATTATGACACAGTATAACATCAGCCATTGAGCTTTTTCTGTATCACAAAAGCTGAGTTTTCCAGTGAAGTATAGGCTGCTTATTGCTGATCTAGTGAAATTCTACGTCCTCCAGCTTGAGCAGTATTGTAGGATTCACAGATCTTACATTTCATGCCTAAAATATGGAACTGGACTGTAGATCGTCCATTGCAATCATTGCAGAGAATCTGAAAAGTGAAGAGATGAATTCAAGGTAAGTACTTTAAATGTTATTGATATAAGTGGCCTTGTCTGCTTATAACAATCTCTTGACAAGCATATTAAAGATGCAAAGATACACATACTTAAACATTTCCACAAGTAGAAATCTCTTTTTTCACTGAAAACTCTAAAAAAAAGTATTAAAAACTTCAAACTTAGAAAATGAAAATACAGTGCTGGTATTAGTGGCACAGGCCTGTAATCCCAGCTGCACTGGAGGATGAGGCAGAAAGATCACAAGTTTTAGGCCAATCTCAGCAACCTATCAAGACCCTGTCTCAAAATAAAAAATAAAATAAAAATAAAAAATTTTTAAAAGGAGTGATTTCTAAAATTGAGTAGAGACAGGAGACTCTTGTCTCATCTCCAAAATGACAATAAAACACTCTTTAATAAAATGCATCTCTTTTGGTGCTAAGTGAGCTCATGAAAAATTAGGCATTAACCTAAAAATAGATCAATATCACCACTACGCATTAAAAGCATTCATTTCAGTCATACCATCATAAGCAGAAAATTTCCAAATTTGCTTTAAATTATAATTTGGTAAACTATTCTTTTAAAAATACTGTCTAAATGTGGAAAGATTAGTGGTTGTCTAGGCCTGACGAGCCTAGTGACTACTACTGGAAACAGGATTTCTTTGGGGGTTAATAAAAATTATTACCTAAATTTATGGTGATCTTTGTACAATGATCTAAAATTATGGTGATCTTTGTACAATTCCATGAATATACTAGCAAAGGAATGAGGTGTGTACATGAATTATAACCTAACAAAGCTATTATTTAAAAAAAAAATCTACATGAAATAGCACACTTCAGTCTCTAGTAAAACATCACATGATTCTCACTAGTCTAAAAATGATCATCTTTCACTGTCTTAACAATTCAATTTCCCACATGAATTAAAAAACTTTCCAGAGTGAATAAAATTTTTAAAAATTGGTTTTATTCTTGTGTGAGGAAGTATTTTATATGTGCCAAAATTATTAAAGCATCAGAAAGCAATTTAGCTTTCTCATTCTGATCTATAATTCAACACTATGCTAAGAACAGACTAGTAGAGCTGCACATCTCAATTAGTAGAATAAAGATGGTCATTTTCTGTAAAGCAAAAGGCATAGAAATACTTCTTATACTTTAGGTTATAAGCTAATTAGTTAAGACCAAATAAAATAAGACTAAGATAGAATAAAAAGGGTAATAAACATCAAAAAACAAAATTTAAACTTCAAAAATCAGAGAACATGTTCTCCTTCAATAAACATTTAAAATAAATACAAATAAAAATGAAAATAAAACATCAGTGATCCACCTCTATCCAGTTTCATTATTGACTGGCAGGTAATGTGCAAATAATTCAGAATAAAGATTTTGCCTGCCATCTAGTGTTGGGAAAAACCACACAAAGGTATTCTTAGGACTTTTTTCTTGGGTTTGAGCTCAACACAACTAAAATTTAAAAATCATTTTGTCCTTCCCATTAATCATCACATTGCAATTTATATCAAAGTAGTATTTTCCAGACAAATCTAAGTAAAAGGATAAAAATTTTTAAGAGTATCACTAAGAAACCTGAAAAGTTTTAAGAACTGATTCTACTCACATCCACAGTCATGTTCTGATATTCTGATGGCATAGGAGTCTGTGCTACCTCATCATCCAGCTGTCTCCAGTACCGAGTCATATCTAAAGCAGAGTGCATACATAATGGACATCTGTAGCCTCTGGAAGAGACAGAAAAGTTATTTTCTGAATATTTAATGAAAGGTATTTCAACTTGAGCATATAAGAAGATGCAAGCTAACTGGCACATAAGCCATCCAAGATAAGGCATTATTCTATAAAATTTATTCTAGTTCAAGAAAAATCTCTTTAGGATCCCTTACGTTATAAAAGCTTTAAATTAAATCCAGTATCTTACAGTATTTTTAAACCTTAAGTCTTTTTCCTCAGTTTGCTAAAATGGAGAGAAATTAGTTCACAGTCTTTGTAAAATATATTTCATATACTTAAAAATGTTAGTCAAGCTATTCCTTAGTTAAGCAACCTTAGGTTCTTAATACAGTCATGCAAGGAAGAGACTGTATTCCCTAAAAGATCATATTATTTCCCTTCTAAAAATTTGAAAAAATGTTTCCTTCTGTTTGGCTATTAAATAACAATTTCTGATCATCAATTCATAGAACCAAAATACATTATACAGTCTCTTTTTTCCTAACTATTTCTCATATCATTTTAGTTCCAGTTTTAGATAATTTCTTTGCCAATTTTCTTTGCAATTTATTACTGGACCAATACAATAACCAAACAAAATTTTCAGCAACATTCCTCAGTGTCTTTCAAACACCATGAACAGACTGTGTTTCCTAATAAGTATACCTACATAACAAGAGATATTTATCTCAAGTTGTGGAAGACGATAAAGCATAATAGAGACGATAGAGACATGGGGACAAATGTATAGCTCTATCTTCCAAGATGCCTTACCTAGTTTAACACTATTCACCTACTTACTCATATCAATTTAAGTATATGCCATGCCTAATACAGTGTGAATAGCAGTCATGTCTGCCTACCTCCCTATCCCCAAAAGCACACACACAAAAAAAATCTCACAATTACTTAAAATCTCAAATACTCACTCTTTCAGCATTTCTTCATAGCATGTTCTGAAAGAAAAAGTAATATTGTTTCAGTAAAAACAAAAACTCTCTTCACTATTTTCAAACATCTTTGAGGGAAAAGAAAGTTATTTTACCTATGTAAAAGATGTCCGCATGGCAAGACATGAGCAACAACACGGGATGTGTGAATGTCCTATAAAGAAAAAAAATGTTAGTGCTTGTTTGATGACAATATGAACATCAAAGTATTCTAAATTCAAGAAGAAAGATTTCCAAAGTGAAAAATATTTTAAGCTTACCTCCAAACATATTGGACAATTCTGCCGGGAAACATTTTCAATACACTGTTTTAAAAGAGAAACATTAACAAAAGCTTAAATAGATAAAAATGTCAGATATAATAGTAGTAGTAGTAATAAAAATGATAGAATCAACTTACTAAAAACAATAGGTAACCCTAATACACATTTCTTGTATGTCAGATAAAATTAATTATTCCTTGATTTTCACAACTATGTCAGGGCAGACACAATACCTCAAACAAGGAAAATGTTCAATAAATCTGCACTATTCAGAGTACCTTCATTAAAAAGATAAGGAAACTGAATCAGAGAATCAAGATACTTACACCTAAGCTCCAAAGATAAAACTCTCTATTTTATATGTGTTTTACTACAAAGTAACTGCCCAAAATTGGTATGCTAAGCCAATAAATAAGAATATTAATAGTAAAAATAATAGCTCATACTGAGATTTACTATATGCTATTTGTTAAGTAAAGTACCGCATAAACTCAACTAACTCTCAACCCTAGATGATACAGGTAAAATTATAACTTCATTTTATAGATTAGAAAGGCCTAGAGAAGCTAAGTAACTGACAAAGTTGCACCCTTAGGAGGCAGAATTAAATTTGAGTCCCAGGAGACTTCAGAGCTTGAGTTCTTAGTTTGGTAAGGCTTAATGTCTGACTACATGAAGAAAGAGAAGGGAAAGCATCACACCATCCCTTGCTTTTAATGGAAGCACCTGAAAAGAACTTACTAACAAACAGGCAATACAAGATAACTTACAAAAAAAAAAAGAAAAAATCATAAAAGAAAATATGTATAGCTTTTTAAAGACAATGGAGTATAATGCAGAGTACAGTCCTCAAAATAATAAATTTTAAATCAGGAAATTGTAATCTTTGCTCTAACATTTATGAGCCCCTAAAATTTTGGACAAGCCACCACTTTTTTAGTCTTATTTTCCTTATATATAAAATAAAACTAATAGATATTTCATTTTGTTCTAAAGTGTACTTCACAAACATTTTAAGATCTCTGCAATCATAATGTATCTGACAGCTTTGAGTTGATGAAATGTAAAAGATGCTGTAAGCATGCAATGAATTGGTTGTGTGCACTTACACAAACTCTACACATGCTTTGGAGCATAGAACAGCACCACAAGAACACAATCTATAAGAGGCTATCAACTTCAAATTCTCTCCACTACCTTATCTAGCTCTCACCCTAAAATTAAGTTTATAAAGCCAAGTTCAATCTTAAACAAATTCACTATCTACTAATCAAGTACCTTAAACCAGGACTGAAAATCTTGGAATTCTTCTTTAAAAGCCCCAGTTCTTTTCCCCCAATTTCCTGTTACCATCTCCTACATGTTCATTATTCATCTTTATTATTTAGGCCAGGTACTATCTAAGATTATATTTCTACAAGAACCTCTTTTCCTTGTCTTCTACTGAATCTAGTTGAGTGCTAAGCGAATTACTTCAAATACTTTCTTTCCAATCTCTAACACACACACACACACACTGTTTTTATTCTCTGTTCTCCCTTATCTGGAATTTCCTATACCTATAAAATATCATTTATACTTCACTCCACACCAATTCCCCATTCTCCAAATTCATATAGTAGGTAGAATCAGTACTATAAATTTAAAACTTTATTAAATAGTTTTTAAATAATAAGGGAGAGCCGGGGATTATAATAAAATACCTGTATCCAGATTTAAAATATTTCTTAATTATGGAAATATAAAAAACTTTCTAAATTTTCACAGAATGTTTAGTGAATAAGTTACACTGCTCAGTATTTTTCCTGTAAATCACAAAAGCAGCACCAATGATCAGAATCTATAAACCAACTTAGAATTTATCAACATTATGCTAATAACTGGCCTCAGCATTCTTACAGTACAGAAAAGAAATTGTACAACATCATATGTTCAGGTGTATATTTTAGAATACCTACTTAATACTGCTTTTTTAAAACATAACATATAGAGTTGTACTTGCTAATATCTGAAAATTATCATACTTCCAAAATATATTAGAATTTAAGCTGGTTTTTAAAAACATTGCAATATTTTAAAAATTATGCAAACTGAATTATATACCTTATGTTTTCCTTGAAGATTCATAGCTAGGCATAAGTTACATTTCAAACAGTGGAAAAAATCTTCCTTTGGACCAATCCTAACAAAACATATGAAAGCCAAAAGATTAGATTATTTTTTACTATAGTGAAAACCTGAGGAATACAGGGTAAACCCCCATCTCGCCAATGTCCCTCTCCAAAATTTAGCACTGTTAACAGAATGGTATCTACCCTTCAAGGCTTTCTCTTTTCCCTATAAAATGAACTTATAGGGAGAAAAAGAAGTGTGAAAGATACACACAATTTGCATTACACTCCTTACAATAAGTAGATTCTTTCCATATAAGCTGTTCTACAACTTTTTTACTTAACAATTTATCCTGTGGATTATTTTACTATCTGTATAAAACTACTTCATTCTTAATAGCTACAAAGTATTAACATGGTATGGATATATGCTAAATTTTAAGAATGTTCTCTTATTCATATAATTTACAATCTTTTGCAACAGTGATACCATAAACACTCTCGTCTAGATAACACTTAGCCTACATTTTGATTATTTTTTACAAGATTCCTAAAAATGAAACTATTGATTCAGAGGGTATTAGATCATTAATTGTGATGCAAACTGCTCCAAAAAGGCAGTACTAATTTATATTTCCACCAACTGTGCATGATAGTATCCTTGGATCCCATAAACTCACCAGAACTAGTTACATATATAACAGCCTTTATAAAATATGCAATTTTAATTTGTGTTTCTCAAATTATGAGAAAGAATACACTTTAATGTTTATGAACCATTGGATTTTTTCTGTAGATTATCTGTTGATACTCTGCCTATTTTTTTTATTTTACTGGAGTATTCGTCTTTTACCAAATTCAAAGAAGGTCTTTATATAGCCCAGATATTAATCTTTTTCATTTGCATTTGTTATGTTTACTTTTCTGGTCTCATACAGCCTTTTCTCCCACCAAACCCCAGACAGGGTCTCACTATGTTGCCCAAGCTGGCCTCAAATTCTTGATCCTCCTGCTTTTTTCAGAAAACTCACTTCAATTGCCTTAGCCTCCCAGCTAGTTGGGACTTCAGGTGTATGTGTCACCATGACCAACTATAGTCATTTTTAATTCCCACGTACTAAAAATGGCATCAAATGTTTCCCTTTTTCATCTTATGCTTTCTGCCTATTATTTAGGAAAAACTTCTGTAAACTACAAATTATAAACACATCCTCCTTTGTCTACTAATACCTACAGTTTTTCATTCATTTATTTTTCCTCAGTCCATTTGAGATTTGTTACATATGATCCAGATAACATTGCTAGTTGTTCCTACATTTCTATTCTCTGCTCTTTCATGATAATAGAACATTTAGCTAGGCACTGAGCTTTTCGGAGTCATCCTAAATAAAGGCTATTTTCTAACCTTTTTGGAGGTTGCAAATAGAAGAGAAAAAACAAAATTTTGTGTGGTACCCTTAAGAAGAAAGGGTTTGTCTTCCCTTCACCTACCCACCTTCCACTGGTCAGAATATAAACCATTAGACTATACAGGCAAGAAAATGTCCTAGGGACACAAGAACAAGAACATTAAAAAAAAAAAAAAAAAATACTGGGCTCCTGTTAACTACATAATTTAGACTTTTCCATGAGAAATAAACACCTACCTTGCTTAAGCCACTACTGTATGTTTCTTTCATAAGATGCTAAAACTACAATCTAATGAAAATACAGAGTTTTAAGAGTCAATTTTTTTTGTTTCCCAGAGCGGTGAAGAGTTTTGCTGAATGATATTTCAACCACAAACAAAGCAGAGTGTTCTCCTTGAGAACACAATGAATTCATGCAGGTTGAAGCTGCTAGCATAAACTGCTTTCTGTTCGGCATTTGCAAGCTCTTCTGGGCCAGCTCATTCAAAGCCCAGTTCAGCCCTTTCATAACACAGTGCAGGCACAATATTTAACGTGAATTAGCAAGAGAACCTTTGTTAGTAGGTCAACAGATTTGGTGGGTGGGGGAAACAAGGAAATGTTAAGGGGATTCTTTCAACAAAGTTTTATTGAAATCTTTTTGTTAAACTTTTTCAGAAAATTCACTTCAATTGCATTTGCCCACTCCCAAAGAACAGGCAATTAGCAATGGCACAGATAATCAATTATCCTAATACTCTTTCCTCTGATTTAAAGTGTCAGTTATTTATAAGCATAAATGTGTATCAGATCTTTAAATAAAAACGTAAGAATTCACACACTAAAAAGATTATTTTTTAAGTTATGAGAGGGTTTCCAACAATGCTACAAATTGCACAAGTATCTTATCTTTTAATCGTTTTTATTTAAAAAACAATAGTAATATTTTGATGGTCTCGTCACTTCTGGAAAAAGATAGTATCTATCAGTCAATCTTATTTAATTTTGCTCAGAGTATCTTTTAGCAAATTTTTTAAAAAATCAAAACAAGAATTCTACAGCTCTTGGTGAATTTTCATTATGCTATCAGCACTCACCAAAAACAACTGCAGAATAGACATTTCAAAGATTTTGAATGATGACAATAGATATAATACCACCTGAAATACCCACTTGAAGTGACTCTAAAACTTGAGTCACAATTTTATAGTAGTATAAAATATGAAACATTTTTATTTGAAAATTTCTTAGGTACTCTACACTTTAACTAGACATTATTAATTATGTTCCAGTGAATGTAAAAAGGACTTTATAACCAACTATTAAAACCCTAAAAACTCTTTGAGAAAGGATCTAAATTAAATTCAGCCTTTATCAAATCTTTATAATTGCAAAAGCTTTTATCATACAACATCCAATTTATTGTCATACCACCCCAAATATACCCAATCTCATCAACTGTACAACATCATTATTGAGATCTTCTGAAGAACAAGGAGAAAATGTACTTTCTTGAATAAGCTAAATTCATTCTATTTTATAACTACCATATAGGTTGCTGAACCCTTTTATAAATTTGATTTACAGGATCTTAATGATCTTATTTTTCCTATACCTTGAAACATTCTGATATTTCAGTATCCAAGTAATTTTTTCACACTACTTATCAATTTTTCCCACTATCCCAACCAAAAACTAAAATGGGAAGTATGGTTGGAGCATCCAAAAGAATGATATACTATTAAATTAATCACTACTGCAAAATCAGTTTGCTTTTTTGTTTTTGTTTTTGGTTTTTTAATGCTGTGCTGTATCACTATCAAGAAGGTATTATGAGTCTGGACACAGTTGAAATATCAGAATTTTTCCTTTTTACCCATAATGGCAAGTAGAAAAAAACCAACAAAAGAAATTTCAGACACAGAAAATAAATGCAAAGAGGCAGATAGCAACATTCTAATCTGGAGTTTCTCTCCACCGCTAATATTTTGGGCCTGATAATTTTTTTGGTTGGGGGGGGGAGGCGGGGGGATAGTCTAACTTGCCAAGGTTGGCCTCAAACTTTCAATCCTTCTGACTCATCTCCCAAGTCACTGGGATTATAGGACTGTACCACCATGCCTGGCTAGAACAGAAAAATGTTGTGGTAGGGAACTGTCTCATACACTGTATGATCTTTAGCAGCATCTTTGGCCTCTATTCAATAAATGCCATGGTATTGCCCCATTCCTGGATGTGACAACCAAACAATGTCTCCAAACATTGCCAAATATCCTCTGAGGGAAAAATCATTCCCAGTTGCAACCATTGCTCAGGACTCTAATAATGATAAAACTGATGCTCTAATCAATAAATCAGATTATGGTTTTCAGATGATGATATCCTAGATGAATAGTCTCAGTCAGGAAAGGAGAGGGGCTAGAGAGACAACTCAGTGAGAGAGCACTTGTGTTTCATGTGCAAGGCTCTGGGTTTAATCCCCAGCACTCTCCCTCGCCCCCTAAAAAAAAAAAAAAAAAAAAGAGAAAGAAAAGAAATGAACCATGTATTTCTAAGAACAAAAGATTATATTATGGCATCCTCATCTAGTCACATCATTTATTAGGAAGGACTTCAAATCACAATTTAATAGGAAGAAATTCAAATCACAAATATTTTGAACCAATAATACCATTTCATTTTGCTAAAAGGACATGATAGTATTTTCCTATCTTTTATGTTTTTACCCAAAATTTACTTAATATGGTTTATAAGTGGTCGAATGCTGAAGACAGATATGTATGCAAAAGTACTTAGAAGGAAACAAATAATGTTAAAATTTTTTCATAAAAAAAATTCTGCAATTAGGGAACAAAGAACACATTTTATGTCCCAATGTTAACTATATTTAATATTCCAAAGTTAAAATTTAATATAGCTACACAGTAGTTGATGGGAAAATTAAATGATTATTACAAGAAGAGGCATGATAAAACTTTTTAAGAATAATGTAAGAGATATATAGATGTAGGTAAATACAGAGATAGATATCAACAGAAAAAGATATCAAAACTCACTGGACACTTCAAATAAATGAATTTTATCAGATGTAAATGATATCATAGTAATGTTGATTCTAAAACCTCGATTGCCCAGGTATATTAGAAGTATTAGAAAATAATATTTTATACACAGTACCTACAAATTCCACAGTTTTCACAATGATACTGCTTCTTATCTTTATCAAACAGATGGCAAATACTGCAATAATATTCTCCAAACAATGTGCTACACTCTTCACAAGTCTGTTGGGCCTAAAAAAGACATAAGTAATTTAAAATTAGAGTAAATTTCAGAAAGTCAAGGGTCATGTTTTCTCTCATGTGTGAAAACTAGAGAGGAAAAAGAAAAAAAAAAGGCAGGGGCAGGGGATCTCATGAAAATCAAAGGGAATGGGGGCAGAAACAATGGTGGAATGAGATGAAAATCATTACCCTAGGTACATGTATGACTGCACTTGTGGTATGACTCTACATTGTGTACAATCAGAGAAATGAAAAGTTGTGCTCCATGCATTCTGCTATCATGTATAGCTAATTAGAACAAATATAAAAAAATAGAGAAAATTCAAATTGCTGATGATCCAATCACCTGGAAAATCATTGCTAACTTTTCAATGTGTTTCTTTATCATACACTGTACAAAAAAAAAAAAAAAACAAAGGGAGACCAGCAAAGTAGAAGAAAGGGATCACTTGCAGGGGGGGGTAACAAGGAATGATATATTGTTATACCATATGCATTAACGAATATGTAACAACGAATTCCACCAGTATGTATAATTATAATGGACAATAAAAAATACAAAAAAATTTACTAAAGTATTTTGAACTACTATTTGAATATCTAGAATTTGTTGAAGGTTAGCTTCTTCTAAGTTTTTAAATATCTAACATATTGTTTACTCCAAGAGTTATGTCTAAAGTATTATTTGCAATTTTAGTAATATTTTTCAAATCTTTAAAAAAAAAACAGAAATATGACATAAAATCTTACATGTTGAATTTTTTCACAGTTTATACACTGTACTTCCTTTACTTTAAAGCGGTCTAGCTGATGATCTTCATTGTTATCATGACACAACCGGCAAGTATAAAGCTTGTCACAGCAAGGCGCCTAATACCCAGGGGAGAGAAAGAGACAAAAAAAGCAAGAGAAGACATGTTTACTATGAAAAATAGAAAATTTCTTCCTCCTCCTGGAACAAGGGCAAAGAGTACAATCAATGGATCAGTTGCTTAGTTTCATTGTTTCTTGGACTATTTTATTTTATTTTTATCATTATTTTAATGATTCCCTTCAATATCTGTATGTTTGTATAAAGTTAAAAATACTCTTACAACACAAGAATTAAGAAGGATGGAAATACCTAGATTGACAAAACAATAGTCAGGCTACTCATCTTGGACATGCATTTACATACTTCAACCCCTACACATAGAATACTATACTTTTGTTTCACTAATATTCATTAATGATCAACTATCTACTTAATACTGCGGATGCAACAAATAAAAGAGCTCTTATTTTCAAGAGTGGCAAGGACTGCCAGTTGTCCACAAAAAGCTACTCTTTCCATCCTGGACACATGAAAACCCAGCTATACTACAGCTGGATCACACAGACATAATACGCCCTAAAATATGGAATGGTGACATTCAACAAAGCTTCATCACTAATTGGGACCACTCATCTTGGAATTGCTAAGCAGAAATAAACAAACTTTTTTTATTCTTTAAACATTATTGTTGGGTTTTTTCATTAACTTCACCCTAACTAGTATATCAAGAGATTTTCAGGGGCTGGAGTTGTAGCTCAGTGGTACTGCACTTGCAATACCATGTATGAGGCACTAGGTCCGATTCTCAGCACCACATATACATAAATAAAATAAAGTCTGTTGACAACTAAAAAATATTAAAAAGAGAGAGAGAGAGAGAGAGAGAGAGAGAGAGAGAGAAATTTCCAGATCAAAACTATACTGTAATCTTGCTGGAAACCAGTACAAGCTAACCCGGTACTATACTATAATCTTGCAGATCCTCTCACTCTGAAGACTTCCTATGCCATGATATAACCACAACATAATTCATTCTTTAAAGATTTAAATACTTCCTTTTTTTCCAACACTGTTCTTGTCCTCAATCTTAGTGATCTATATCCTTTACATCCTTGCAAAGAGAATCATTCCAATAGCCTGAACTCTCAATTCGTTGCCTTCCTTACTTTCAATGGCCTAGTCCTCCAACCCTCCTCACAGAGAGTTATACCTCAGAACATTGTTCTACAGGGTCTCAGGAAGTCTTTATCCTCTTAAAAATTATTAAGGATCCTAACACGCTTTTCATGTTAGGATTATGTCTTTGATATATTCAAGCGACAGGCTTTAAAAAAAAAATTTTTTTTTTTTTTGGTACCAGGGATTGAACTCAGGGGCACTCAACCACTCAGCCACACATCCCAGCCCTATTTTACATTTTATTTAGAGAGAAAGTCTTACTGAGTTGCTTAGTGCCTCAAGTCTTACTTTTGCTGAGGCTGGCTTTGAACTCAAGATCCTTCTCTTTCAGCCTCCCAAGCCACTGGGATCACAGGCATGAGCCACCACATCTGACTAAAATATTATTTTTGAAAAAATAAAAGTAACAAGTCCATTACATGTAAGACAACAGGCTATAATGAAAAATAACTATTCTTTCCCCCTAAATAGCTGGATTCACATATCTGTTTCTGCATTCAATCAGCTGTAGTTGAAGCAAATGAAGAAATTCTGGTCTCACACAAATATGTAAGTTGAAAAGTTTTTTAATAGCTTTTTCAGAGAATTGTGGATATTCTATACTACACCAAAACTTAATAGATCTTAAAGGTTGGCAGTAATACAGAATCTGAAATAATACCAATAAAATTTTCCTTCTTTTTTCGTTAAAATTCATTATCTATCTTGCACTTGGAATTAATATTTTACCCATGCACTGGTCATCTGGAACACACCAGTGCACTTATTTATGTAGATCTTCCAAATTTCACATTTCACGTGCAATCAAAAAGTTATATTTATGCTGGCAATATGGCTCAGTTGTACAGAGCTTGCCTAAGATGTATGAGCCTCCAGGTTCAATCCCCAATATTGCAACAACAACAACAGCAACAAAAATCATTAAAAATCTTTGGGTATTGGGAAGCTTTCAAGCTCACAAAAGCTAATAAGGGTTTTCTAAAATTCTAGTTTTTGCAAAAAGCTTAAATTTTATCACTGGCAACAAATACTGTCAATTGTTTTTCTTAGTATTGAGTCTTGACTCTTTTGAGACTGACTACCAAATGCCAAAGTCTAAATCAGGTTGGTTTTTTTTCCAAGTTTAAAAAAAAAAGTTGTTTCATGAAAAAAGCAACTAGCTCACCTCACAATCCAATTGCACAAGAGCTTCTTCCTCAAGACAACCAAAGCACTTGATAAAAACCTTCCTTTTTGTCAAAAGGGCATTTTTTAAAATGTAGTAGTATTAGTTCAGTACCACAGTCTGATTGATGCACAGGTGCTAACAATTTTAATCATTGCCTTTCCACCATAAGTGCAAATGTCAACACACTGAAATGAACAATATTCTAGTGTTCCTTAGAAAGTAGTTTTGTCCTCACAGTCTCAAGGTGGTCCATTCTGTCCATTCATTCACTCTGAAAACCACTGCTTCAGAACAAGGACTATATCTTCTTTACATTCAATTTTAAGCATGAAAATCTCTAACCATTACCTCCTCTTTCAAACTAACTCCAAGTCTCCCCTTTTGTATTCCCTAGCTTTATCCTCACTCTTCCTCTATGTGTCTGCCAAATTAACTCGAGTTAAATTCAACTCTTTCCTACTCAACCTATATCAGAAGCAGCTGACCATGGTTAGAGAAAAACCACCAATCCCCACACAGTCTGGTCTCCCTTTTAAGTCAAAACCACTCAAAAAGTAGAATCTTATTACCAGTTCCTTAGTTAATCCCCTCATTCTTCTAGAGTCAAAGATCTAGAATATAGATGATCATTTCATATCTTCTCTCTCTTTAAAACTCTAAAACCTCTTCCTCCCTCTTAACCCTGGTTCCTTCACTATTAAACAGAAGTAATCAAAGGAAAACATCCTTCCAGAACTCTTATCAACCAACTAATATACTTCATCCTCAGCCTTCCCTTCCTTTACAAAGAATCTTTAGTCAGTTCATTCTTCAATCTAAAGTCAACCTCTACACTTATGCAAAGGATCTCATCACCCTTTGGCTACTCAAAGACAGTACCCTTATGGTTTTCCCTCTTCCTCCTGGATTATATTGTTCTCTACTAAATTATTTTAAATATACAACATGCTGTAACATCTCCTATCCTGAAGTAGAAAAAACTCCGATCCCACAGATTTCTTCAATATAGAAAAATTTGAAGAATGGTCTGTGTTATTTTCAGTTTCACTTCCATTCTCTCTTGTACCCACTCCAGTCAGGCTTTATCCTGATCTCTCCATTACAATTCTCTTGGCAAGATCACCAGTGCTGACCTCTTTGCCAAATTCAAATATTAATTCTCAGTTCTTATCTTACTCAAACAGCTCCCCTTAATCGAGTTGATCATTTCCTCCTTGAAACTCTTCATTTGGCCTCTGATTTTAAGGAAGAGGAGGGGGAGAAACAACAAAGTTCATGACACTTGCTCAGAGCCAAGAATTTTAGTGCTACAAAATTTAGATTCAGTTATGTTGTTTCTTTGGAAAGGTTCAGGGCAAGATATTAAACATTAGGTTTTAAACATCAAGTATGAAAGAAGACTAGAACATCTTAATAAAAATGTAATCAGAAGGATAGCATTCAATTTCCTTACACATCTGACGAATGACCAACTTTGAAAAAGCTTCAATCAGTGCAGTACAACAATAATCACCAAACTATAGCCTACATGGGCTGACCTCACAAGCCTGAGATTGCCACTTGCTTCTAATTACTGTGATCGGTGATAAGCAGAGTTGATTGGTAAAGTGAGAGTGATGTGGATATTCATGATGGTGGTAATTAACACTACTCACTCCAGGAATGCACCTACTAAACACTATACACACACTTTAATAGGTAATACTCATACTTTTTCTAAGATCCCTACTTTACATGCTAACTAGCTCAAACATCACAGAAATATTAAGGGGCAGAGATAAGACTTGGGGATAAGGCTGCAGGACTCAAGCTGGCTTTCTTTTGGAGGATGAGGTTGCTGGGAGCTGAGCCTAGGGCCTCGTTGGCCTCCCGCATGCTAAGCACATGTTCTAGTAATAAGCTACACTACCAGCCCAAAAGCTCAGGCTTTCTTGGTAAAATCTTTATAATGCTTCTTCCAAGAAAAATCATGAAACTTGAGTTGGATGGGTGCCAATTTAAAAAGCTCTAGATTGACTAAGACGTCTTCTCAAAGTAAATAGCAAAAATAACAATACATTCTAGGCACTTTTCTGTACCGAATTTCCAATTTAATGGTAACCACATGATTTGTCTTCCATCTCACACCTACTGTTTCTCATTGACAGGTTTGGGCATAGGCACTGACTCTAAAATGAAGCTGGCAGGCTGTAAAGTTTTTTTACTCCAGGAATTGAAATTGTATTCCGATTCTCCACTTGCTTATCCTCATTTCATCATACACTTGAAAGGTGGTTCTGGAGACAAGCCTGGTTCAGGCCTGACGCTGCCTCAGTCTACTTCCAACAGTAAAAGACTCACAAACCCATTGGTAAACTAATTTCGTGTAAGCTCAAGGTCTTACCAAACAAGAAGGGCTTTGCTTGCAAAGTACAAAAACAGAAAAGAACCGTGGGGCTTATGGTCGCCCTGACAAAAACGTTCTCTACTAGTGGAACCTAGTTCCAGATGGAGGCGCAGGTATCCTGACAAACAGCTCAACCTCAAACAAATCTTAAGCCTAACCGCTTTGCCCATCGCGTCCCCAGCCTGACCCAGCGGAAGCTCGTCGGAGAAAAGCCCACTGAAGTCGTCACCTTCAGGAGACATCCTCTGTCATAGTGCTCGCAGCCCCGCTGCCCTCGCTCTTGGCTGCGAACGCCATCTTCCTGCGCAGTTGCCGCCATCTCCTCCACCTCCCCTCACACTCAGCAGACCCTTCCCCCGGGTGGAAAACCACGCCCAGAGAAGAAGCGTCGCTCGGATACCCCTCCCAGCCGCAGCTGACACCAGAATAGATATGGCGGCCGATCACGTGACCAGGGGCAGCCGGATTTCCGGTTCCCGGGGCTATGGGGCGGAAGCGAAGGGAGACGCAATCTCCGTCTTCGACGTTAGTCGTCGTCTTCGCTGCTAACGGTAATAACTCTTAGATTGGCTCTTTTCCCCTGGCATCGCCGCCCGCCCAGATCCCGGGGCGTAGTTCGGAACGAGGAGGACCGCAGCGGCGCAGAGACGCCTGGTGGCCCCTGAGGAAGGGACGGTCTCCGGCCGCATCGGCACCTGTGACTTGATGGCCCCTCCCTCTCTCCCTCGGGCGGCGGAGCGCCTCGAGAAAGGGGCGGAGC